CCGCTACGTGCCAGTCGGTAGTTGACCGGCTGCTTGCCGGTCTGAGCTGTGATCTCTTCTTTGATAAGCTCAGTAGGCATAGGAGCAGGAGCTCCTTCGATGTGATAAAAATCGTGAGGTACTTGTGGGACTGCATACATGAACCACTTCTCTAGTCTGCGCATGCTTGTTGCATGGAGGGTCTTAAGCACCCGCTCAGAGTTATCTGCTTTCATGATCTTCTCCCGGCTGGCGCTAGAGCTGCATCGTAGAGTCCAGCCCGTATTATTCCTTTGAAGGAAGGGGATCTCTGCTAATGTGAGTCCAGTAACTGCCTCTTTTATTCTGAGTCTTAGTAGGAAGGGATTTGTCTCTGAGAGCAGAGCTTCCCCATTAGCTATTATAAGGATCGTTTTCTCGATCCGGTCATTCTCCCTCTTGAGTCTGCGTGCTTCTATACGCTCAGTGTTCGCTCCTCCAATAGGAGCAGGGCGTCCTGTGTTGGTGGGGGCCTTAGTGGGGCTTTCTGCCTCAGGCACTATCCGAGTTTTCAGTGCATCAGTGTAGGTCTTCTGCTTATTGCTTTCTGTTCGTGAATGCTCTGTTGTGAGCCCTATCCATTGATCAGAAGTAGCCTTTGCTGCTCCCAGCAGTGTGGAGATGATCGTCCCTTTAATATTCACTGCGAGTCTATGTTGTTGACCCTGGAAGCCTTGTGCAAGCTTATCCGCTAGTGCTGCGAACGCCTCGATCACCTCTCGCTTCTCCCGTTCTGTCTTATCGATCCTTTCGAATCGATCCTTAATTACGCCAAGGGCAGAGCCTGTGAGCGATCTTATAATTGGTGGAGGGGCAATGCTTGCCCCTGGGGTAATGGTACTTGATTGAGGGGGGATCACCTCTTGGGTTGGGGAGCCGCTCGGCGCGCCGGGGGCGCGCATCACTAGCGGCATAGGGGAGCCTCCTGTGAGGCCCTTAGATGTAGTTGATTCGTGATCGTTTCAGTAGTTGAATGATTTCTTTTTTTTAAAGATTAACCGATGACTAGATGATTGTTGTTGCTTTCTATAATTGTATGTAAATGACAATGTATAGGTAGGTAGATACTTATATATATTCTACATCATTATTACATATTCGATAAAATAATTAAAGATATATAATATGTATTTGAATAACTATGACTTTTATAAATCTCGATTAAATTATATAAAATTATGTAAAATTTAATATTATAATTCTTTTATATATTATAAAAAAAAAGGTTATAAAATTTAAATTAAAAATGAAAAAGAAATAATATGTTAAAGTTGTTTAATTGATAAAAATAAAAATAACTTAATATTATCTTTAAATTCTCATTTAATACGCTAATACTAGCGCACCAGGGTACCTAGGTACATATAAATAGCTTCTATATAGTATAATAAGAATGTTACGGGAGCTGCCTCTAGGTTCACGTGGAAGTGTCTAGAGATCTCTCGAGGTGGTTTAGACTAGACTTCAAGTAAGAATTCAATAAGGTTGTAATTGGTTGCAATTCTCGTAATTATAATAATGAAACTAATGATTGTTCTTGAGCACAAAGCTCTACATTGTAATGAAACCCATTCCCTATATAGACCTTTGTACTGAAGTCGATCGACAAGTCGATCGGCTTTTGATCACATAACACTTGTCCTGTGATTCCTATTGTCCTAGCTTGTCTTTTTTTGTTCTAGGGCTAATTCCCTGGGACATTACTAATCCTAGTGAAGCCTTTCTTGCTTACTGTGTTCTGTCTGTCCTAGGACCTACTGTCCTGGGAACTATGTTCTATGACTAATACTATATACATGCCTGAGGCGTCTCTTGGGTGCCTAGTGTCCCCCGGTATACTGCAGCTGAATCACTGAGGCCTATAATACCATTATAGCCTACAAGTCAGTGATTCTACAGCCTGTTACTAATCCGTTGTAACAAAGAACTTCGTTCTTCTTTTATACTATATACGTACTATCATTTCTATATTATAAAACTTTCAAATTCTACTCAAAAATTAAATAAAGTTTGATTTAGAAATTTTTATTATTATTATTTGTTATTTTCAGAAAGTTATTCAAAATTGAAATTGAAAAGAGGTTTAAATTTTCGAATTTTCATACTTAGAATCCCTAAAATAAGCGAATTCCTAAAATAAGCGAATTTATCTTTTCAAAAGTAATAAATCTAATACTCTTTTTACTTCAAATGTAAGTATCTTTTTCAATTATAAATAAAAAACTATAAAAATATGTTCATTTAAAAATAGAGCTTTTATTCAATAATACGTTTGAATTTAAATATTATAGATATTAAATTGATTGAATTATTAAAGATTAAAAAGAGATTAAAAATGAGTATATAGAAAAGTATATAAATTAATTTGATAATTTCAATTTTTTAGAAACTTTAATCTAATATAATTGTTATATTAATTGATTATATATATCGATTCTATCTTATTCTATTTTATTTAAATTATTGAAATTATAATTGTTTTTAATTTGTACTATACATCTTTAATTATTTCGTCGAGTATATTAATACTTTATATATTTATATACATTATTCATTAAAGATCTCAATAATTCAGAAAGTATACAGATTAAAACAATCAGAACAATTAGAATAATCAGATTAGATCAGATCAGATGAGATCAGATGAGATGCGGAGTAGTACCTAGAGAGCCAATATAGAGAGAGAGAGAAAAGTCCAGCCCAGATGAACAATCATGATAAGGGAAAGAAAAAGAAAGGTGGTGAAGAAATTAAAAAGTGGATGATATTCTATTGAGGGTAAACACATGAAATGTATATATATATGTATGTATGTATGTATGTATGTATGTATGTATGTATGTATGTATATATATATGTATGTAAGTGTTTCTCCATTAGTACATTTCATATCCATATTCATTTCATCAGAAGAGAGTTCATTCTTGTGTCTTGGATCTGATAGATTTAGAGTTGGGGTGTGTTGAAATGTCTTGGAGAGGAAAAGAGTCTAAGGAAACTAAAGATAAAGCCTATCTTGACTACCTGCATGTATTCGGATGATGGGGATTTGGTTGGAGTGAGGTGTGGTTTGGAGATGCATATGAATGAGTTTTATTGGTTTGGGTGGTGAAGGGAGAGAATGAAGTGTGTTGATATATGTTATATCGTTGGTGATATAGGGATGGGTGGTTGATAATACTGGTCTCATACTTTTATTAGTCGATTATTATCAAGCATTCTTCTGGGTACCTACCGTAGGTATATGTGCCTGATCTTGATCTACAATCAGAAAGATCACGATCGTGTATGGAATAACCTCCGAAAAGTCCTTTCTCCTGAGGAGTGTAAATACCAATGGCCTGAAGAATTTTGGGTTAAGAAGTCAAAAACAAATAATTAGTTCTTTTATTGAAATCATTTAATTTTCCTACAATAATTCTCAAAGTTTGGGTTCCCAGTCACATACCTACTTCGTACATAAGTAACCGGTACTCGAATACGCATTCATCAATGCTGATGTCGATCTCGGAGGTAGATAACATGGAGTCAGTAGGAATGAACCAATGATACTCTGTCGAGCGATGGAATTTGAGTAAGGAAAATCAATGTGACCCAAAAATGATGGATGCGGATGATCGAACGCAAACTCCAAATTCTTACTCGCTGCAGATTTTAATGAACATGGTTATCATTAGACCAGCCATGCCCCTTAGGGTTCTGGCGTCGAACTTATCATACATTATATGCCTCTTCTGGCTAGCACTTTTTCTGCTGTACTATAAATTTTTATTTTATGTAGTATTTTAGAGCTCAATTGATTACATTACGATGATTATATTGCTGTATTATTTAAGTAATATATCTGAGTAATATCTTTTTTCTTTTTAAAAACCTTCTAATTTATTTCTTAAAGAAAATAAAGAGAATCTTATATTCAGAATTAGCTTTTTTTTATAGTTTCTTAAAATAATATCTAAATTATACCTATTAAATAAGTTTTATAAAAGTTCTAGTCCTTACAAAGTATATTTATAATAAATCTTCAAGCTTAGACTAATAAGATTTACAATAATACTATACTCCTTTAGTATTATAATTAGAATCTCTATTGTATATTAACTATTTAAGTCTTCTTAAAAACCTTAAAATATATAGATATCTTTGATTATATAGGAGAGCGATATTAAAGAATTTCAAGACTTTTAAATTGAAAATGAATTTTTTTTTAGAAAATAGTAGAACGTAACAATTTTTAATTTATTTTCTATAATTCTATATTATTTCAAATACTTTATTAGAGATAAGTTAATAGAATTTATATAACTATTTGTTATTTCAGAGTTTTATTATATTTACTTTTTTAAGAGATCTTGTTGAATTTGAGAATATAGTAGAGATATTCAGAATGATTTTATTTAATATAGACTTATTAAATAATAATAATATAATAAATATTAATTTAATTATAATAAGATGTAGAATATATTTATTTAACTAAGAAAATAACTTAAACAAGAAGTTAATATTATATATTACGAAAAATAGAAAAGAGTCTTAGTCTAATTACTTCTAAAATAGCCTTAAAGTAATAATCCTTGCTAGCGTTGAACGAATTTTTCTAAAGAATATAATAGGCCATTATACTTTACGAAGATTGAATGAGTAAGTAATGTTAATCCTGCTGTTTTTTATAGAATTTATTACTGCTTTAAGCGAATTAAATAGATAATGAGCTACTCCCTCTTAAAATTCGATATTTAAAGCTTTTACTTACTTTTCATCAACTTTAATAAATTTATAATATTTGAAGTATTTGAAGCTTTTCATAGATTCTAAATAAACTCTATACAGGATTTCGAAACAAAATGTAATAAAAAATTAATAATTTTGAATAAAATGTAAATAAAACGTGACTTTATAATACTTTCATTATCTCAAGTTTACCATATAAATTTTTAATTAGTGATATAATTTGATTCGTTTAAAGGCTTAAAGTAAAGATGTATTTAGATGCGTTTTACATTACTTATTCATTCAACCTTCGTATACTTTATACTTTACACTTCACACCTTATACCTCATTTGGCATTTACAATTTAAACCAATTTGACGCCTTTCCGCATGTGCCCAATCACATCAATTATATTCCCATCTCGACCTCAAGGTAAGAAGAAGGAATCCATAATTTCACATCCAATCAGTTCAACTTCACCAATCAAGTTATCCACTTCTGGTCAAGGCCTTCCCTCTTCCCTTTTCTTTCTTTACGAATGTCTACCTTGTAGTTGATAAAATACCTTAGTAATTAACTGGGTAAGGTAAACTAACTTACTTATCTCCCATTCCCCTTCCCTTCCATGAACCATTATTCATCATTCATTCTCCATTACCGGTATCCATTCTCCATTTCCTTAGGTTCCCTCGTTACTCGTTGGAGCTATGGTCGATTCTATACCCGACTAGGTAGGTATGGCTTAGGTAGGTATGGCTTAGGTATGGCTTGTATGGTTTGTATGGTTTGTATGGCTTAGGTATGGCTTACCATGTATGGTTACCATGTATGGCTGATGGGATGGTCCATGGCTGGCTTATGGCGTTTCCCATTCTTTCTTTTCCCTGCTTCCCTCCTTGTTGATGTTTCTTCTTAAATTCCTTCCATGACTTCCATGACTTCCATCCATCCTTCTAGATCTTAGCCTTATGGAGCAAAATTCAATATCGATCCAATCAGCATTCTTCATTCTAACAGATAGCTAAATTCAAACTCTCTTTCAACTTCTCGATTTTACATCCTAACTATCTCTCTCTCTCTCTCTCTCTTTCTCTCACTCTGTTCCCCCTTCCCTTTTTTCGGGGGGATGTTCCATTTCTTTCTCACCAAAAAACAAAACAAAAACAGGGTATTCATTCCATTTTCTACCTTCTCTCTCCCTTCCTCCCTCCCTCGTCTTCAACGTATCTCCCTTCCAATTTCTTTCTCATATTATATATCTACCTCTACCTACCTAGGATATATCACACAGTTGAATGTATCTTCCCCAACCAATGATACATCAAACCTCACTCAGTCTTTTCTTTCATATAGACGACCGAACCAACGACCGAAACTCAAGTACAAGTCAATCAATCAATCAATCAACCAATCGATCAATCGATACACCGGCGACAAACAACAGCAACAACACTAACTGGACTCGAACTCGAATCAGAATCCAAGGACTTTCCCTGAAGAGCTTCCCCTCTCCAAACAAGACACACCTTTTAATTCTTTACAACTTCTTCAACGTCAACATCAACTTGAGATCTTTTTTTTCTTCTTCTTCTTCTATTGTTGTATAGCGTATAGCGTATAGCGTATATCACATTCTATATTCTATATTCTATATTCTACATCTCCATTGCGACAACGAAATATAATCAAAATCATGTCCTTTTGATTCCCTATTTCCCTTCTCTCCCCCTCTCCCCCCTACGCCATTGTTCTCCCACACACATACACAAAATTACCGTAACGAGTACCCTTATGTACTCGAACGAATCGAACTGACCACTTAGCACGTTTTTTTATTTGAAAGAGATTTGTGAGAAGGAGGGATGAGAAGTCCATCCTTCTCAACCAATACCACCTACCTATATTCTGTATAATATCACACTACACAATAACCCCCAATACTCGCACGATACATGTACTGCTGCTTCTGTCTTTGAAAGACCCAGAATACCAATACCAATACCAATTCCAAAATCAGGATCAAATTCAAATTCAAATTCAAATTCAAATTCAACCAAAAAGCCCCTCTTTTCAATCATATCCACCCTTCGAAACTCATTCCACATTCATCACCCTTCCATCTGAACTCCAATTAGTCGAATTTCCACTTCCGTTACACTACAGAGTCCAGAACTACCTCGATTCTCTATTACACGTACAGGGCTTCCCTGTCATTGCGAAACACTTCCAATCTACTTTGTTCCCTTTACGAGATTCGGTTGCATTTTCTTTCATACCAACTTCGACAATTCCCTCGGTCCCTTCATACCAAAATCGTCGCGCGAATAAAAAAATATCGTCATCGACTGTTCGTAAGAGAAAACCGGCATCGGAAACAAAGACATTGAACAGAAGGGGAAAAAAAACAAGGGATTTGATTTTCAAAACGAGACTCGGTCGATCGAAAAGAAAAAAAAAGGCGCTGCGCTCGAGCCAGCTTGCCCCCGTGCGACACGGTAATTGGGCTGTCGAGCTCAATCAATTGACTTTATTTTCTTACTTTGCTTTTTCCTACCTATATTACCATTTAATATTGGTCCAAAAGCCCGCGGATATTGGTGGTGAGCGGGTATATAGATTTGGTGTTGTGGTGTGCGAAAGACAGTGGCAGTAATGGACTACGCCGCATGCAACATTGTCTACGTGGATCGCAGAGCTCTCGAGGACAAATTGGTGCGAAGAGAGGATGTGGTGTCAAATGTCTCGACCTTGGAAAATTCGGCCCCGACCACGGACGGCGCGACGACACCACGAGCGATCAATCCGGTGGATAATAATGTGAACATTTTATTGACTTCTTTTACTGAAGGTAGGTCTAGTTTAATTGAGACGGGTGGTTCAATTGGTCTTGGGTTGAGACTACAATTGATGATGATGGAATTGACAAATTATAGTTCACGTGTGTACCTCGGGCAAGTCTTGCATGTCGAAAGTTTCCGACCTGAATCGCGAATCGTCCCTGGATTTAATACCTACCCTCGTTTTAATAGAGATTCCGCATGATGATCAAGTGAATGAGCGACCTGCGAGGGATGTCCGGACACCATCGCCCAGTTCCAGGCAACAGAATGAGGGGATGCTGGATGATGATTTTGGGGAGGTATATGGAATACAATTATTACAATGGGTCGCATCCGAAATCCAACAACATCGCTTCTCGAAGCTCGTTGTCCCGGTCGCCGTGGTTTCCTCGTCGGAGCAAAGTCTTTCAATAGGTTCGGCAAAAAATCGTATGAGTTCGAGGTCGGAACCCGCTCCTGCAACCGGATTTGATATGGGCAAACAAAATCGAAAATCGACCGGCATATACATCCCGTTGGATCAGAGAAGGACCATGAAGCTTTTAGACATCGGTGCTTTAGATGTCATAACCAGTCCTCTTTTACTAGAACGATTACCTAGTTTGGCGGTACATGCATATCGCGCGCACAAAGATGCATCCAAGGATCAGAGGGTATTGTTGGAAAAGAAGAGAGGAAGGAAACGCTCATGGGTTGGCGTGGAAGATCAAAAACCTTATGCATATTTAAGAGAAGAAATGGTATCTAGATTGATGGAAGGAATTTGCACGCTTAATAGTGAAGAAGTAGAAGAATATGGCCAATGGAGAGTGACGGTTTCATTAGATCGGAGAGAATTGATAGCCCAGGCCATTAGCTCTTGGCATTTTTCGGCTCATGATTTTGAGGACGATGAACTTCTTTACGCATCATCATTAATGTTCCAGCATGCACTCTCGGTACCAGAATTGGAGAAGTGGCGGATATCTACAGGTGCGTTCCAGAACCAATGATTCGGGTGATAACCGGCTCCGGCCATGCTGACATCCGTTGCAGAAAACTTGACCGCATTCCTCATCACCAGCCGAGAAGCATACAATAGTTTTGTGCCATATCATAATTTCCGTCATGTCGTTGACGTTCTCCAAGCCATATTTCACTTTCTCGTCCGGCTAGGTAACCTTCCAGAATATCCACCGAGCCCAGATGGAACGACGAGTCAAAAATCATCGCCGATTGCCGAACTCATTAGACCATTCGATGCTCTTACCTTGATGATTACTGCCATTGGCCACGATGTAGGTCACCCTGGTGTCAACAATGCATTTCTTGTACACCTAAATGCACCACTCGCTCAACTTTATAACGATCGATCCGTCCTTGAATCATTCCATTGCGCAGCTTACTCCCAGATATTGCGTCGTCATTGGCTCGCGGCTTTCGAGGAGCGTGATATGCGACATCTCATGATAAGCACAATCTTGGCAACGGATATGGGTTTGCATTTCGATTACATGAAGAAGCTTGGCTATCTTCAGGAAAAGCTACATGAGAATGGTGGTGTTACTGACGGTTGGAACGGTCGAACGATCGAAGATCAACGAACACTCGCCTGCTCTTTACTAATCAAATGTGCAGACATAAGTAACGTGGTATGTTAGATGGACACTGCCAAAGAAACTCAATCATTGACATGAATGCAGGCACGAAAATTTGATACCGCAACCCGATGGACCGAGATATTGACTGATGAGTTTGCTCGTCAAGCATCTATGGAACAAGATTTGGGTATACCAACGGCCTTGTATGCGGCTCCTGTTCGAGAAGTCATTGAACTTGGCAAATCTCAAATAGGTTTTATGAATATGTTTGCCATACCGTTATTTGGTGGTGTGACAGATGTCATGCCCGGTATGGCATTTTGTGTCGAGGAATTGGAGAGAAATAAAGCTGCCTGGGAAAGCAGGATAGCTTTAGAACAAGAGAGAATGAGACAAGAAGATGGTTTCTTAGGACTCCCTGATAGTATGCACTCGGGCATGCGCTCTCCCCGTACGATGAGTATTGCCCAGCCATCTCAAGATGAATCTGCTAGCCAAGATGTCACTTCGAGATTGGGTGAACCCTCAAACATTCGTGTCCAAGCAATGCTTAACAAAGGTCCATTTCGACAATATTCAAATGATGAATCGCCTAAAGGCACGAAACAGGGAACAATAGAACTTCCCCAGTCAGCGACCTTGCCTGATCGAAGATCATCAAAACCCACTTATCTTCAACTGAGTTACGCGACGGCAAGTGCACCAGGACTTCTCGATCACTCCAGCCAGGAGGTAGAAATCTTTGCGAATGGAGATCGACAAATCAATGGCGTACTAGTTCAGCCATCTCTTTCTACGGATGTGGTAGTGGTAGATCCACCCACACCTAAAGAATTCATACCGCCAAACCAGAGAATTAGTGAAACTACAACCGAAGGTAGCAATTCAGGTTCTGCTGGAGAATGGTCTGCCGGTGCAGCAACGAACAACAAAAGTCCCTTTTCGCCTAGCACTCAAGGGACGAGCTTTGCGAGCGAAGATTCGAATAACGACAGAGCTGTCACACCTACTCATGCATCCCCACTAATTAATAGCTCGAGCCATTCTTCCGCTGGCTATGATAAATCAAATCATTCTACAAACGATGGATCGAGTTTGCCCGAAGCGAGTTCGGATCTTAAAGTCTTGGCGGAGACGGGGCGAAATCTGAAAAAGAAACCCAGTCGGTTCAGAATGAACGGATTACATTTCTGGAAGAGGAAAAATGGTAATCCACCAATGCCAGCCGGGATGCCGGATAAGCAAGAGTCTGATGGGACTGCGGGTTGATGCGAATTAAAAAAAAGTAATACGAGAATGAAATACACAACTCGACGAATTCACTGACGATAATGTTTTGAGATGAGATTAAGATTTTGGTACGGCAATCGGGGATGTTTTGTTCAGGTTCTTGTTTGTATGATTATTTTATTTGTTTCTGTACATTGTACACGATGTGGTCATTAGTTTTTGAGGTATTTCTTTCGAATCTTGCCACTTCAAAGGGTAAACGAGGAATAGAATACCTCTTGTGTTTATGGGTCTATTCAAAACAAAGACGGGATTGGCGTTTTAACATTTCTTTCCCTTTTTCTTCTTCTCCTTCTTCTTCTTCTGGCATGGGGATGGAGGATGGGTGGGTTTCAAATCCTCCAGATCGATTTCAAAGGTGTGGATGGCGTTCGACTTTTATTTATTTATGTTAATGGATGGATGGTTGGTTTGGTGCTTGCTGGATGCATGTTTGCATGAACGGATGCTGATTGCTATTGGGGAAATTGGGGGGAAGGGGGAGACGGGGAGGAGAGGAAATGACGTTTTATATCCAAATTGGTAGGCAGGTTAGACTTTTGGGCTTCTAGGCCAGGGGGGAAGATTATAGGATGGGATGGATGGTAATACATCTGGGGATGGGAATTTTAAGTATGGTTTGGAGCTAGGCTTGGGGTATTCTTTTTTTTCTCTGAGGGGGTAGATGTGGATGAGAAGGGATTCTCTATCGATCCATGGCGAAGGAGAGCGAGTTAGTTTCATGCGTGAAAGTCATGTTGAGTATATTACTATGAAGTGGGGGGGGGGAAGGATCGGAATTGAGGAGAAGAGATGGAAGAATGAAGGAAGGTAGATTAAATTTTCAATCCAACTTATTTTAATGCTTTGCTTTGTATTAAAGCGCGGGCAAAATAAACAAGCAAAGAATCGTTCAATCAAAGTTTCGCTAGGGTGTACTTGTGATGTTTGTGCTATCAAAGGTAATGATTACGAGATCCTTTTCTCCTCGTTTTATTGTAGTGAGGGTTTAATTTACAAAGTCATAAATTAGCCTTATTAAAGCTAGGTATAATAAATATATGACAATATATATACTTTTGGAAGTCGTTATATACGAGAATTATAAAAGCTGCATTGATGTATATATATATAATAAGGAGGCAGGGAGGTCACTGTAAATTATTGGTAAGAGTACCTAACAGCCTAGATAGATACCCCAGGACCATCAGTGATTCAGTGTGTTACGCCGGTCGCACTCTGGTCCGTTCCACCCCGCGCCTACCACACCCATAGCTAGTACCTACCTTGATAGCCAAAGCTTTATTTAAGCTTGGAACTAATCAATTTTGTCAATTCCTATCATTTCATCATTTCTTCATTCATTCCATCGTTCCCACTCTTCACGACATCTCTACATTGTACATCATATTACAGAGTCTTGTCAGACCTACCTACCTACAATCCAATCTCTCAATTGCGATACCCTAAGATGGCTTTTTGACTGGTTCTAATTAACTCTTAACACAAACGAAAAGGATACTTGGAAACTTATCATTCTTCTCTGTGCGACTCACCATGAAATGCTACAACCCATCTGCGTTTGTTCCCATGGCGGTTACATTGGTAACCGTCATAATCTATCTCGGTGTTTTCATACCTCTCCTCATCATTCAAGAGACTGTACCTTCAGCTCCTGATGATCCTACTCTTTACAATGGCTTAAATCTTACGGAAGCATGGCTCGATCTTCAAAGCTTGAGTGATGGTTATCATCCTTTCAATAGTCGCAAGAATGACGATGTGCGAAACTGGTTATTGAAGAGGATTGATGAGATACTTCATCACAATCAGATTCAGTATACCACCGAAACCGACAGCGCCACTGGCTCTGCAATTCAAATCCAGTCCGATTTCGACACAGAAGCTCCCGAGTCGGTGTCTAGTCCTGGTAACTCCAATGGCAATTCTGCAGAACATTACCATGAGGATCTGCGAGCACGGAAAGAATCGCCTGCGGTTACTGTATTCAATGATTTACGTTCGAACTATTCCAGCAATGCGCTCACCAGTATTGGAGTCAAAGGACGAAAGCTTGGGATAAGCACATACTTTGAAGGAAACAATATCATCTGTTATATCCGAGGTAGTGATGATGAAGAGGGAGAGTGGTGGAAGACTGGATCCGTCAATTCTAAAGGAAAAGTTCATGGCAAAGGCGGTGTTATGGTCAATGCCCATTTCGATAGTGTCTCGACGGGGTTTGGAGCTACAGACGATGGTGTAGGAGTTGTTACAGCACTTCAATTGATCCGTTACTTCACCACACCGGAAAATAGACCACAGAAAGGCTTCGTTGCCCTGTTTAATAATGGTGAAGAGGATGGGTTATATGGTGCGAAGGCATTTTTGTCACATCCAATGGCAAAATTTGTTCATACTTTCTTGAATCTGGAAGGTGCTGGGGCCGGTGGTAGAGCTACCTTGTTCCGGAGTACAGATACTGAGGTCACTCGAGCTTATGCACACGCCAAACATCCTTTTGGGACAGTTGTTAGTTCGGACGGGTTCTCATTGGGATATGTGAGAAGTGAAACCGATTATGTTGTTTTTCGAGCAGAAGGTTATCGTGGATTGGATGTTGCTTTTTGGCAACCGAGATCTCAATACCATACCGATCAAGATGATGCTAAACATACATCGATAGACTCATTATGGCACATGTTATCAGCATCTGTTGCTTCTACTCGATCTCTTACCAAGGATACAAGTAATACATTTTTGGGACCACGTGGTGACGATAAAATCGGAAAAGTAAGCAACGGAAAAGGTTCTGACGGTGTCTGGTTCGATATATTCGGCACTGTTTTTGCAGTGTTCAAATTGAGAACTCTTTTTGCTTGGTCACTCACTTTACTCATTGCCGCTCCATTGATGCTCTTCGCCGTTTCATACCTTCTCAATCGACAAGACAAATTCTACTTCTTTGCTGGATCTATCAAGGCTAAGAATCCTGAAGATGAACCTATTTCTCTTGGTGGATGGCGCGGCGCCTTTCGCTACCCTATCACTCTGATCATTACCAGTGCCATTACTTTTGGTTGTGCATCGCTGATTAACAAAATCAATCCTATGATTGTCTACTCTTCCCCTTACTCTGTATGGAGTATGTCAGCGAGTTTGTTCTTCTCGATATTCTGGTTCATCATGGCTGGTTGTAATTTCGTTAGACCTTCCGCACTTCAAAGAGGTTATGCCTTTATGTGGTTATTCGTGTTCGGTTGGATCATTCTTGTGGCTGCTACAGTTTATGAAGATCGCTTCAAGATAAGCGGTGGTTATTTGTTCGTGTTTTACGAAGCTGCAATTTTCCTTGCTACCTTGATCGCCATTGGTGAACAATTTGCGTTACCGAAAAAATCTATATTCGTTGAGAATTCTCAACATGACCATGATGGCAATCAAGATTCTCACCATCAAGCCGTGATGGGTACTGATGGGGCTACTGGGGCCGATGAAACTAATGCTGACAATGGTGTGGGACAAGAAGACGACTCAGAAGATAATGTGAACGGATTGGCAATTCCTCATGAGACAACTCCACTCATTGGCGGTGGAACGCCTACTCAGCGCACTTCAGTTAGCACCACTTTTGCTAATCGATACCGACATGTTGTCCCAGAAGCTTATGATGGGCCAGCTGATCATCACGATAAAAAAGGTCATAAGAAGCATCCTTATGGGGGTGAACAGGAATGGTCTGCCAAATTACCTATATGGACTTGGCTGGTCCAATATCTCCTTGTTGGTCCATTTATACTAATTGTTGTTGGAGAAGTTGGTTTGTTTTTAGTAGCTGCTCTACATCAAACGGGAACTGATGGTAGCCCACTTCTTTTACCATACCTTGTTGTTGCCGTATTTTCCATTCTATTATTACTTCCAGTAACACCATTCATTCATCGACTTACACATCATATGCCAACATTCTTCTTCCTAGTCTTTATTGGAACTCTCATCTACAATCTTGTCGCATTCCCTTTCTCGCCTAATAATCGATACAAAGCATATTTCCAACAAACCGTGGATCTTGATACTGGCCTTAACACAGTCACGATTGTAGGAATCGAAGAATATATTCGCGAAATCATCGCCTATATCCCAACCGCAGCAGGTCAAACTATCAATTGTGAAGAAAATCCTCGAATTCGTTCTGGACTCTCATTTTGCTCCTATGAAGGCATTGCTCCTAAAGTGGTTGATAATGTTGTGGATGGTATTCCACCTGAGAAGGGATATGCGGATTGGCTCACGTATAATGTTACCAGAGTTCCCAACGAAAATAAAGCTACATTCTATATCTCGGGTCTGGAAACTCGGGCTTGTATTTTGAGATTTGATGATCCATTCTCGGAATTTAAAGTTCATGGTGGAGCGAAAACGGAAGAGAGATGGGATGATGTACCAGATAGTGGAAGTGATCAAATTAAATTGTGGAGTCGAGATTGGAACAAAGAATGGAAGGTAGATGTTGAATGGGCGGTAGGAGAAGACATGAAACCGGGTGAGGAGGGTAGAACAGGAAGAGTAGTTTGTTTGTGGAGTGATGCTAATAAGAGGGGAGTCATTCCAGCATTGGATGAAGCGAGGAGGTTTAGTCCTGATTGGACAAGTATTGTTAAGTTGATGGATGGATTGGTCGAGGGAAGTAAGAGATTTGTTGTTTAGATTTGGGGGTGGAAAGGGGGTCCAGAGAATTTGATATTTCCTGTGAATTGAGGGAGGGAGGAAGAAAGGGATATTCATAGGCAGGCGTTATTCGGACGAGAGAGAAGTATACGTGTTTTTGAAGGGTATAATACGATTGATGGTATGATTGGTATTTCTCAATGAATGAGTGTACGTTAATGAGAATGAGAATGAAATAATTGGGCTTTGATGAATTGCGATTAGTGTTTGGCAGAGGAGATTGAAAGAGTATTCGTATTATTAGGTAGCTTGGCTGCTCCGTAGACTACACTACCGAGACTACGTAAGGTTACAATAAATTAGACGAGCGCTTATCTTCTTATCCCTCGGCATGAGAATTGGAGCGCATTGTGGGGATGGATGGATGGATGGATGGATATCGTCATTGGTTGTTCGCTCGTTTGTTTAGCTGCAGTACGAATATCCCATCCTACGTTAGATTTCTTGATATAACACACCTGGGACCATTGGGGTTGATTGATGCGTAATTCCATAATTCAACTGCTCATTCATTTAATCACGGATTGTACTGTGCTGCACTGTAAGTAATGAATCTATATTCTGATCACCATGACGATGACGATACGACGACGACAAGCTAAGGTCTTGGTAGTTCGAATTGGGGCAGGCAGAGAAGGCAAAGGAAAGGAAATAGTTGGGTGTGATACCTCCTTATCTATCTTACATACATACCTACATATATTATAGGTATCTATCTCCCTACCTACCCACCTACACAATGTCTTCTTCGACAGGTCTTAGGAGAGAGGTAATTGGGATTTATAAAGGTATATTATTTCCCCTCTGGTCCCCTCTCCCTCATCCTTCCCTTCTCTTCTATTCCTCCCCCTCATCTTTCCCCCTAACTAACCCCCCTCCTCCTCCTTCACAGAACTCCTCCACCTCGGACACTCCTACCCCCTCGGCTACACCTATTTCCGCACGCGTTTACACCGCGCTTTTATGGGTAATGCGTATTTGACCACTGTGGCCGAGATACGCGCGGGGATTGAGCGGGCGGAGTTTGTGAGGAAGGGTATGTCTTTTTTTCTTCTTTTTTTTTTGGTTGATTTCTTTTTTTTGAGAGTTTTTTGGAAGGGGGGGGGAGGGGGTTCTAGGGTTTGAGATGGATTTGATTTGATTTGGTTCTGGGGTTAATTTGAGGATTGGGGGGTTTTGGGGAGATGGGGTGAGGAGGTGAGGAGAGAGGAGGGGAGAGAAGAAAAGAGAAAAGAGAGAACAAAAGAGAAGAGAGAAAAGAGAAGAGAGAAAAGAGAAGAGAGAATTGGAGATATATATGCTAATGATTCTATGTTTTTGGGGAGTGTAGAAATTGAAGCCCTGTACGTTACATCCATTACAACATTACTACATCACCACATCACCACATCACCAAATATCCCTTCATCTGTTCAATTCTTCATTATTCACTCTGAGAGGATGACAAGATTCAAGTCGGAGATTTACCAGACACAAGTATAAATGTACACACATAGAAACACAAGCTGATTAAATACATATTGGGTATATCCAGGTACTATCTTAAAAGGTATCGAGCGCTGCGCCAAAGATACAAAGAAGGATGACGATCATATCCAATGATGAATAGCACACGCCGGTGCAAATGCAGGCGTAAATGCGGATGTAGGAGATATACACAAGCCTTGCGGAAAATATATGACACCGGCGTTATATCCAACAGGCTCTTTACTTCGATACCGAGAGATTTATTCCGACGTCGAGATATTTTGGGATGAGAAGGGATCTCTGTTCCGGAATCGAGGTATCTTGGGATGAGAATGAAGTGAAAAATCTATCCGAATGCGCAGACTGTATAATAAGAGATGTGATGAAGCTGGAAACCAGCCGAGGAAATGATCGAAATGGTAATAGGCAATATAAACAAATGAAAAAAAAAATTATTGAAGGAGAAAAACCAGATAAATTCGAAAGGCAGTAAATCACCTCTCAAGTATTCGAATCAGACTTTGGATCCTTTTTCTTTGCCCACCAAGCACCGACTTCCAAACATTCTCCCCAAGATGTTCCATTATTCTTCAATAAATCCGTCATCATGTTCCCACACCAACGATCCCATTCATCCATACTTTTCCCACTGGCTTCTTTTAATAATGGTTCTAAACTCCCAATCATTTGGATAATGCTCATTAATGCTGTTCTGCGAAGAGCCGCTTGTCCCGGTGTAAGGTGTTTACGATCAATTTCTTTAGCTTTTCCTTTCGATCCATGGAGTCCATTGAGGGAGGCCGTAGATCCGCCAACCCCTTCACGTTCCCAACGTACTTCACCAAGGGGAATTGCTAGTCTTCGACTTTCTATTTGTTCGAGGACTGCGGCTTCTTGGAGAAGCATGGGTCGAATACTGGTACATGGCATGGTGGGTAAATCCCGAGTGTCGAGGGCCTTGGATATCCACGTATTGTAGTCTATGAGATATTGATTTTGCGGTGCTGCCAATGGTGTTTGTGGTGTTATGGTATATGCGCCCATTGCATCAGTGTGTATTTGTTTGTGAGCTTGAACAGAATTATCTTTGTCCTTTGCAGCGGGTGGTGCGTGTGACAAGAGCATTCGAATAGTATGATCGCCGTCCCATATTTCTAATACACCCCCAGGTTTTAAGATTCGTAAATACTCATCCATCAAAGGTTGCGGATTATCTTTTGTAGATTGTGCCATGCTGAGATCTTTGACCATAATGAGAGAGAATTCTTCGTCGCGAAAGGGGAGAGGCGTCTTTCGCAAGTCGTGCTGAATGAATCGCCAATTCATATCATCATCTGCATCCATACGGGGAGCTAGCGGTGCGATATCGATACCCGTAAATTGTATCGAAGAATGACCTTTGTGCGAAAAATGTTTATGGCACATTACACTCCAAAAGCCAGTGCCGCAAGCAACTTCGAGTACTCGTTTGGGAGGACGATTGTTGAAAGCCGATGAACATGTAGGACCGTTGAAGACTTGACATAATAGCATAGTCCGTAACGTCTGCCGATGAATTTCTGGAAGATCGCATGGGAGGGGATATGCCAATGAAGGATCTCGTAGGTATCGGCGACCATTGCGTTTGGTAAATGGTTGTGCCATGAAAGCTTCGGATGATGACCCAAATGGATCACGATCACGATCTCTCTCCAATGAATTCATCTTGGAAATGAAACTCGAGCCAGTGGTGCTTGCAATACTATTTGATCTTCCTACGGAATCGGAAGCTCCTCTCTGCTGGTGGACGGTGGAATTGGTGGAGGCATACCGTTCCACTCCGCTTGCATTTTTGATGCTATGAGAAGAATGACCCGAAGTCGATGATGATTTGCGCTTTGCTTTCGCTTCTGAAGCGGCCCGGGCTTTGTTGGTTTGATTTGCGGAGTGTTTGTAATCGAGTAAAGGGGTTGATAGCATACCCACACCTACACCCACAACACCCACCTTATTAGTCGAAGTCGATGTCAAACTAGTTGCTGTATTCGTGTTGATCAATACCTCGGAAAATGGATTGTGATTCTGATGATTGTCGCTTTTAGATCTGGGAGTTCCAGGAAGAGTGGGAGGAGAGGAGTGAATTTGTTGTAGGTTTAGTGGTGGAACTGGATGATCGGAATCTAATTGCAACAACAATTCATTTCTCTGTGAATGGGATTTGGATTGTGATCTGGATCTGCCTTTGGAAAATAGTCTCAAGGGTTGTGCTTGTGAATGTACTGAGATATTTGTGTGCGCTGATGGCGGTTTGGAACGATCAGGCTTTTGGACCGTGGTGTTGTAAAAGAAGGCGGCTTCAGACATGATAAATGAATATGATGATCCTCTTTTCCTTGGGGTTTATATTATTCGAATAGGCCTCATTGGTGAACAGTATGAAAACTAATAGATCATCGTTATAGGTGACGAGTTCCTGGAGTTTAATGGCTATAGGTTTCGGTCCAGTACCCAAGGGAATCCGTTGATATTTTTGCCTAATTATAAAACCCCTCCAACATTTGGGATCGTGATGGATTTGGAAGTATTCGTCTTCTAGACAACGAATGGACTTCTGTGTTAAAACGGGGAAGCTGGGGTAAGAAGTTGATGAAAGTAGCAAATATGTATGTATCGGTAATGTGACGCTGTTAGATGTTTGTGACTCGTGAATGCAGTGCTTGATGAAGCATTTAAGTAGGTACGAGTAGAGTTTGTATAATTCTCCGCATTGCAGGTGATCTCTTGACCATGTACAAAAGCAGTAAGATAGTAAGGCGAGTAGTCAGGTTAATACGTATCGGGCTGGAAACTACCTAGTGTATAGCTTCGTATATTCGAGTGACAGATTGATAGCACGTGGAATCATGGGAAAGTCCTTCCTATGCATTAAATTCAACCGGAAACCCAGGGACAAAGACAAGCAAATCCTAGAAATCGATCGGATTGAGTAACCCAGTGGCATTTGGGCGTCAAGGGTTTTCTAATATTGTACGAGTACTTCCGTATCGTAGAGACCAACAATGGGGGGACTTTCGAAGACCTGGAGGATCCCAAATTGATATCTCGTAATGTTGTTATGATGATAGTGATATTCGACTATATTAATTTAAATTGTTAAAAAGATCGAATTTGGCGGAGTATTAATTCCTTAATGTGAAATCCGGGGAAAGGAGGGGGAAATTCTAGCCTTATATCATGATGTATAAAAAAGCCTAAGCCTAGACAAATCATGCATTTATCAGATCACTTTGAACATCAAATTGGATAACTAATGCGTTGGGAATGATCATACATCTTTCATCTAGAGAAACTCATATCTAGGGTCGCATTTATATTTCCCAATGCCGGGGTTTCAAGAAAAGATCAATTCCTCGAGGAAAATTGAACATACTGAGTATGCAGTAAGACCTATAACTGCACGTCCAATACATTGGAAGCGAGAATTTCCAAGAGGGCTTGGAGGGTTAACTCAGCATTGGTAGTTTTCCCCGCGCTCACTCGTAGATATACCCTGCTTAATGGGAAGTTCCAATAATCACCCAACCTAAATCATGATCCGATTGGTGATACCAACTTGTACCTTTGAAAGTTTCCCCGAGATTAATGTTGGTTGGGTTAGCTTTCAACCAGTTTGAGTTATACCCCCGTGTCGTCGTACCCCAGGTTTCACACAAGAGGAGCCGTTCAACAACCAAACAGTGTTCTTTTCGGATTCGTGGCTGCTCCATCAGACAGACATAGTGACTTCTCCGGACCGTCTGAAAAGCAACTGTTTGATCCGGAGTTGTGCGTAAAAAATCCTCTCGACTTTACTAACCGCCCGCAACTTGTGAGATTATGCTGAAAGGATGAATCCAGTTGTGCTAATGAGATATCGATGATGGGATCAATCTAAATTTCTAGACCAAGTACTGGTAAAGCCCTGCAGGATGTTGGGACTCGAGAATCTAAATTGCCGCAAAGCATAGGACAAAAGGCTTCTTGCATATATAACGTGGGACGAGATGTATTATATGGAATGAGATGTATTCCAAATTCCTTATAGCACAGTTTTTAGTCTGAGATAAGGACGGATGTCACCTCATCAGAATTTCGTTGGACGGGAGCATGAAAGATTGGTAGTATTTACTTATTTCGAATAGATTTCAAGGAACCGTCTTATAGGTCAATGGATGATATCAATGGATTTGAAACATGAAACAGAGTAGACTCAAAACGTTCCCAGAGCAAACTTAATTGATGTAAGAGACAACCAAGGACCGTCTTGTCATACATAGCAAGTACTACCTGTCTAGCAGTACTCATTGTTCATATCATACCCGAAACAAGACCTTAGGTTTCCAATGGGATAGAGAATCCATTTTATAGAACTTGAAGTGTATTGAAGAAGCAATGCCATCATATGATTTCGATAACATCTGTTAAAAGGTCAAAGACAAAACATATAGTTTCAGTTTGTCTAAGACTTGACAATCTTATCCCATCGAGAACTTTGAATGGAAGCCCAAGAGTCACTAGCTTGAGATCCACGTGATTTCAATTTTTTGGCGCTAACCTCTCATCCATGTTGAGGTTCGGCTCAGTCCTAGTTGGAGCTTTTAGTGGGTGAACAACATCTTAAGCAGGAAGTTGACGATAACATCAATACAGCGAATTCAATCCTATCAGATCCCCTTTTCCTCGCAGTGTTTACCGTATGAGAAGGGTTTCATCTTGATTCAAAGGTAGTACAGTACTATTTCTTTTGCTTCTTAAGTGAACAGACAAATTCTTTTTCTTTTCAACAGTGTTCACATCTCAAGATAGCCACTTACCAGTTACAAGATAATAGACCCGACACTTACAACTTGAAAGCTTCACTCTTTACATCTGCGAGATCTTCCACGAAAGCCCAAAGGTCGATCGAATACTCCAAATACGCGCCGCACACAATACACCCTACCAAAACTTTGAAAACATACATATCTATCTGATTCCAACATCGATTGCTTCGCGCACAGCAGCGCGCCCCACCACTAGTAACTTTGATATCGTGGTATATTCCAGAAGATATTTTCGAGAGACCTATGTGCCAACGAAGAAGAAACCGATCTCCAGCTTCGAAACCACCAGTCTAACCGGTCCTCGGTTTATTCCATCTCTTTCAACGGCCTGCGCTCACAAAGCTGAGCCGACGCCTCCGCTAGATACCTATCTGCGGTGGTTTTAATGGCAGATGGTTACAGATTTTCACAGCAGAGCGCTGGGAACTATTATTACCCTCAAACTACACACCATCCAAGACATTTGATACGCACTGGGACACCTCCAAATAACATTCGGTCTGCCTTTAACACGAATACTCCATCTCCAAGTCGAACCCCCGATCCTCAATCTCCCGCTCACGGTCTTTACGGTATGTTTAACCATCAACAAGGGCAGCATGGCCGTGTCAATGGCGCAGGACGAGGCGCTATGGCAAGCATGATGCCATATCCTCACTTTCCTACGCATCAGTCTCAGCATAATCAACACCACGCCAATATTCAACAAGACCACAATGCACACAATTCTAATGGGGTGAATCATCATGCAAACTTTCCCTCTGTTGGCATGCAGAATTCGGCTTCCACTTTCACTCCAAATCTACAGAATGGGCATACGACAAGCACACATAATGCTCAGGCTCAGGTAATGAATGAACACTGGCAGAAACAATTGGATTTGTATGCGGAAGGAAAGAAGGCAAAGCAGAGTGGCGCGCATTATTTTGCTAGATCCAAAGCAGGGGAAAATACCGTCGACAAAGCTACAACGATATCTACCGAGGAAGAATCAGAGAATGCGAGTCGAAACAGGCCTTCGAATACGGATACTATCAAGCGTCAAGATTGGTATAATATGGATATGAGCGGTCTTGGACTACGAGCATTATCAATTGAGGTATTCCACTACACTTTCCTCCAAGAGTTATACGTGGCTTCCAACGCCCTCACATCTATACCTGCAGCCATTGGTCAATTGCGACACCTCCGTCATCTTGATGCCTCAAACAATGCATTGCAGACTCTACCCCCCGAATTAGGCATGTGTGTATATCTGAAGAATTTACTACTGTTCGATAATCAACTTACGTCATTACCACAATCATTTGGATCACTTTATCAACTCGAGATGTTAGGCATTGAAGGCAATAAACAAATGGATCCTGCCATTAGAAGTGAAATCATGGAGAAGGGAACTAAAGCTCTTATTCATACTCTTAAAGAAGAAGCCCCAGGTGAGTTCACAAGTCTACAATTTCTATCTCGTGACTAATTCGTCCAAGTACCTCCTCCTCCCGCCCCCAGAGAAATGATTGATCTACTGAATGGCACGGCGGTTGCCCCTGACGTCGAGCGGTTCACTGTTTTCTCTTACAACATTTTATGTGATAACTATGTTGGTCCCAGTCAATACGGTTATGTTCCATCTAAAGCATTAGATTGGGAGCATCGAAAGCACGAGATACTCCGCGAAATTGAAGAACGAGATGCAGACTTTGTATGTCTTCAAGAAGTTGATGCTGAAAACTTCCGCGAATTTCTCAGTGTGAAACTTGCATACAAAGATTACAAAGGTGTATGGTGGCCAAAGTCACGAGCCAAGACTATGTCAGAGTCAGCTGCAAAGGCTGTTGATGGCTGCGCAACCTTCTATAAGAACAACAAATACATTCTTCTCGATAAGCAACTTATCGATTTTGCAAACATCGCAATTAACAGACCTGATATGAAAAATCAACATGACATTTTCAATCGTGTCATGCCTAGGGATCACATTGCAGTGTTAGGTTTCTTCGAGAACCGCCTCACTGGATCACGCGTTATTGTTGCCAACGCACACATATTCTGGGATCCAGCGTATGCTGATGTTAAACTAATCCAAATCGCAATTTTAATGGAGAGCATCAGCAAATTTGCTGAGAAATATCAACGGCACCCAGCATGCAAAGATAAAAAAGCATATACTATTACGGACGATTCAGATCCTGATGCCCCTGTGGAAGTTGCTCCAGAACCTGCCCCATCCATGGAATATACGAATAAGACCCAAATACCGCTTATTGTTTGTGGTGATTTAAATTCTACTTCGGATTCTAGTGTGTACGAATTGTTAGCTACTGGAAGAGTTGCTCCAGATCATCCAGATCTTGGCAACTATCAATATGGAAATTTCACGAGAGATGGAATTGAACACCCTTTCTCCCTTCGATCCGCCTATACCAACTTAGCCGATGGTCCACAAGAATTAACATGGACCAATTACACACCCGGCTTCACTGATCACATTGATCATATCTGGTACTCGACTAACGCACTCGAGAATACCGATTTGTTGGGACCTGTAGATGAAGAGTACATGAGAACAGTGCCCGGTTTACCACACTACCATTTCCCCAGTGACCATCTAGCACTCTTAGCCCGTTTCAATGTCAAGATGCCGAAAACCAAGAAACCCCATCAAGATCCACCTGATTTCGGTCCGTCGAGTCACCATGATCGACGAAGAGATTAGAACATACATGGAGCAAAAGCATAGGCTTCAACTTCTAAGCTCGGTGGCTTGAAGGATGGATTTCAATGAACGGAAAGGGGAGGAGTTTATTTTTCTTTCTTGTGTTTATTCCATGGGCTTGGAAATTGGTGGTTTGGCAGGCTACTGGCAGGCGTGGAGCGTTGTATGCATTTTCGAACCGACTTTTTTCACACTCTCTTTTGCGGTCTTGTTATCGGGTTTTGTTTTCATGTAATGATTAGGTTTCAGAGGTGGATGGTGTGACCGTGTCAGGGATGAGATCTGACAGGGCAAAGCGTGGGAGATGCGAAGGGGTGAATATGGGTATGCGAGGGTGATTTGAGATGAGATGAGATATATGCAAGCAAAACAAGATACATGTTAGTGTATAGAACAACGTGATAAACTTGTTTTGCCCCTTTTCAAAATTCATTTCCACTACTTTGATTGATTTGGCGAATGATGACAAACGTAGGTATTACGATATTGAACAAGATCGTATTGTGAGTGATATTCATACAATACTACTACTACAATACAGCATAAATAAACTATCGATGTTTATATGGCATACAGTCACTCAAGCTTTTGATTAATCACTGTGATTCTTTGGTTTTGGTACCATCAATCAGTTAAATATCATTCTTCGCCCAGAAATTGAGCATTTTTCGTGTGATCTACTAGGTGGATATCTCTCGTTCGATTGTGCGTTTCTGCTTTCATCTATTTCATTGTACGTACATGATTTTCGGTCTTTCATGATCTTTCTAGAATTTCGTTGACAAAGAAGTGCGATGTGCATATATGCATGGTTTGAAACAATCTGTATTGGGTTGTATGTTCTTGGATTCCGCTTTGTCTATAAATGCGAGCGCATTTAAATATTACAAAATCTAGACACCTAGGTTCATATTTTATTTCGATACCTGCTTTATTTTGCGAACTTGCGAATTTGAAACTTGATTTTGGCTCGCAAGGGATATTTTGATTAGTTGCCCAAAATGTCGGAACCCGCTGTCAAAAAACCAACTCCGCGTCGCAATATCCCGCCCGAGGAGGATCTGCTACGTATGCGTCAGATGGTTGCGGTGTTGCATAGACTGAAGGCCCATTGGAAAGCATCGGGCCTGTATGCGGAGCAGGTGAGCTTTATACGGAATGAGATTTTGCCGTTGGGGCATTTGATGGTTTCCACGGCGGTCTGTGTTGGGATTAGGAAGATGGATGGGAGACGGGAGAGGGGAGAGGAGAGGAGGAAAGAAAATGGAGAGGAGTGGAATTTAGATGTGGAGTATGGTACGAAGGGATTGAAGGGTTTGTGTCAGTTGGTTATGTTTCAATGCTGGGTGGAGATTTTGAGTAAGTGTTTCTTTTTTACTTTGGGTATTGTTAGGGAGCTTGTTGTTCTGCTTAAAGCTAGGTTAAAATGTCATATGTCATGTGTTATTCATCGCATATTACTTTACCAAAAACTAACACACAACTCAGGAGAAGATTTCGCACTTCCCGATACCGCCATAGCATTTTATTTTCCACGCGGGTTGAGCAGGATCGAAGCACTCTTCATGCAGGGACTGGGATATAAAAAGAACATTGTGCGATACTACCACGAATTAAAGAATGTGATGACACCGAACACATTTCTATTTGCAACGAGTAAGCATGTTAAATTTTGGCACAAGGGATTGTTAGAGTTGGCGGTGCCGGGCTTGATGGTCAGCGTGCCGTTGCAGGTTAATGGGTATTGGGAGAACTATGATAGAGGGTGAGTTTGTTCTTGGGGAGAATTGGAAGCGGAGATGGAGATGGAGATGAGATGATGTATACTTTTGTTTTATACTGACATGAATACAGCACTCGACGAGTATTCAGACGCTTTCTGAACACGGTAAAGAGTCGCAAACTTGGACCCCTCGTCGACGTCACTTCGCTTTCCTCTACCGAGCTCACAAATCTCAGATGGAAACTGGACACTAGAGAAGCTACTGAATTGCGCATGAGTGAAATATCAATGAATTATGAGTTCTACTGGCGACCTGATCCGGAACCAGAATCGACGGAAGGAAACGAGAAAGAGATAGAAAAGCCAATGTATGGATGGTATACACCCACGGCCTGGCACAAACTACCCGGTCCAACTGGTATCCCCGGTGAAATTTACGATATGGAAGCTGTAGAGGAAAAACGGCGCGCGAAGAGTAAATCATGGTGGGGATGGATCGCACAGAAAGCACCAATACCAGGGCTCCTTTTTCTTGATATCGTGTTGCGAGTCGTGAAAATCCTTTTCGTCAATGTATTCTGGCCGGATAATCTCGGGACAGAGGGGGAGAGATTGGGAAAGATAGAAGCAATCTGGGGTTCTAAGGAAGATGAGGATGGGAAGGTGTGGTATTTGGTGGAGAGGAAGACGGATACTGGGACGGAATGGGGATATCAGCCAAGTAACACCTTGGGGCCGGGAGCTTGGGAAATGGTGATTGATTATCACTATGCGTGTCCAGGGAGGAAGTGGGGAGATGTGCAGTTGGGGTGGTGGGAAATTGTGGCGGTGCTTATTGACGTGTATTGGAATAAGAGTGAGGATAAGAAGAAATCTTGATTGAATTTGGTTTTGTTTGGAATTGGACTCTTAGTAGAGATAGGATAGACCTCCTGAAACGCTGTTGGCATTTGAAGTTAGGATTTTTCAAAGATCATTCCTCGCAGGAACATGAGAAATGAATAACCCCCACCTCATTAATCTGGAACGAATACGCCGATTTGACTCATGGATCAATGATTCGTATGTGACAAGTATAGTCCAAAAAAATAATGATATTGCTGTGAGTTCGTTAGAATTAGAAGGATACTAACGTGCCTATTCCTTAAATCTATGCCCACTTCTCACTCTCGCCACCCGGAAAGAAATAAATTCCACTTCCTCAATCTCAACTCGCTAGTATATATGCATAGGTTGACATGGTATGAGAGATGTGTTGTTATTGATAGTGATATTGACAAGAGTGGATACTAGACTGTCTGCTGAGATTGTGCAGAAGATGAGACAAGAGAACGCAAGGCAGAGTGCTTGGAATGGTCTGGATGAATGATGGCTCATTTCCGGAGAGAATAGGCAAATGGTTGGGATTGGGGTTAGTTTCTTACAGAGATCTCATCAACTCTGTTTCAGTGGTCTTCGTAAGTCGAGAGATGGCTGTACCCACCGCATGCACTGGGGCACGTGTTTTGTCGCCCGGAATGATTTATACACAATTGCATATCCTTCTATCATTCATTATTGACATTCTATACAATATCAATCTCCCAGTGTGAGCCTTACTCTACTATCCAAATCTACAGACGCGGATGACTTCTCGTTCTGCTACCGAGTCAGTACTGGTGAGCCAGTTATGCCAGTTGCGGCACACATTTTAGCACACCTCAGTAGGCAGCTAGAGCTGATTCTTGCCCTTTTAAGTGTGCTGACCTATCGATGCCAATCACTTTTGGTACCTTAGCTTTTGTCTTTCAAGTCTTTTTTGGGGGTCCCATATCCTCTACCGCATCTACCCTGTCCCAGGTATCAACCTCCAACTTCCTAACCTTCTCTTCTATATCCTTGATCTTTTTCAGTGCATTACTCATGGCCGCATTTTGCTCGTCCCAAGTCTTCGTAAAAGCATCCAAAAGCCATGGTTGTAAGCCCTCTTTCTTTCCTTTGATATAATCATATGTCACAATATCTTCCTCGCATCTTGCAGCTACTCGCTGATGTAACTCCGATACGATTAAAACATCCAGCTTAAAAGAGAATTCGTCTTTACTTTTGGGTTTATGAGTGAGTTTGTGATATACGGAAATGTGATCTGGCCATGTCATCGGCTAATGTTTGTTAGTAAGAGTGTAACAAAACACGAATGATCTGATTGGGCAATGGAAGACAAAAAAGACTCACAAAAAGATAAGTCGTCTTTATGCTTCTCAGTATCATTCCATAGCCCTCTGGCGTGCACATTCGTCTCCATTTTTCTTGATTTTGGGGATCGATATGAACAGCATAATTTTGAGCCCAGTTTACTCTTGCACTCTCTGCATATCGTATGTACATGACATTATTAACATGTTTCTGTAGTGCATTAAGAATTAGCTATCTGATTTACTTCAACATATATCCAGGAAAATATAGTTCTCCAGCCCTTCTACCTAGAAGGGGAATATACCATACAGTCCATCTCCCCCCAGACAACCTTATGTCGACTTAGACCAGCTCTCTTTTTATCCACCAAATAGCCATGTCTTCCAGCTAATAATATCCTCCAGTCTCGCCCCAGTATCTCAAGTATTTTCCCTGCATCTCGTGCTTGTTCTCGACTCATTCCAAACATTATACATTTTCCAATCCTAGCTTTGATCGAGCCCAGCCATCGTGAATCCGAAGTGGCATCTGGTTGGCGCGTCACTGTGGTTTCGAAACGTTTTGATATGGGACTTCGCAGACTTATGAAAGGTCGTCTCGAAAAACACGGCAATCTAGGGGACATTTTATCAAAGATAGAGAGCAATGGTTCGAAATATAAGAGATATTGGAGTTGTGAAAGCGACTGATTATTGTAGAGCTGTCGCAATCTCCCCGCATTTTCGGAATTGCGGCCGCAGGAGTGTGTTTAGCGTGTTATGGGCACTCCACTTTGAACAATAAGTCGACGTCGGCGATGACATGATATTAGACGAAATGCTCGATAGATGCATATATCTGTTCCATATGCCATGACGCATACGAAACTCGAATTTCATCCATCTAGTCTAAATCTTTTGGTCGAACTACATCGTCTAGACGGCTCCAACTTCGATAGAACTTAAGGAGGATTCCTCGATAAAATGATGGAGAGCAACGAACGTACTCCGCTGATTGCAACAGTTATGGTTGCCCCCCCCGCGACAGAGATATGAAAATGATGTAATTCGTCGATTCTTCACTACAGCTGCGATATTGTGCTTGGTTATTGTAGCTTTTATCTTTCTATTGCTTTTACCTTTGCTCGAATAGATTTTGAGGGTATGACCCTTTGTAGTAATCTGAACGACTAGTTGTCTTAAGCCCTTGAGCTAGCGCTACTTTCCCAACATATTACATACCTAAGTAGTTCGATGTTTGAAGTTGCAGCAAGTCAGCCTCAGCCCCATATGCAGTAATATTAGCCAATGGTGGTCTTTCAGATCTCCCCCACCAATTCTTGACCACAACTCTTTGATGCCTACTCGATAGCAGCACGAAAAGATGACTTTACCAACCTACAAAATCTACAAAATCCAGTGGCATCCCGCAATACAAGATCCTCTTATGCATCAAACTCTACGCTACCACAGCAATATCTTTATTGAAACCTCCCCAAGATGGCTCTGGTACAATCTATGAAGTCAATGAAGATATTGCTAGCGGAATGAGTTGTTTAAAATTCCCTTCACCACCACAAGAGTCTTTCGAGTCATTCTATCAAAGAACTCTTTTAGGCGAAATTGCTGTGTCTGATTTGGAGGAAGTGACAGGAGTTCTAACGAGTGCTCCACCGCCTCCAAGACAAAGATGCTTTAGTCCGAGGATCACGAAGATGGAAGCTTGTAAGGTAGATGGGACGCCATATAGAAAGGAAGAGGAATTACCAAAGTTCTGGAAGTGTACGGAGTGGACGAATGAGGGGGCTATACCTGCTTTTTGGGCGAAAGGATTGATCAGAATAGTTGATAGCAAGGAGGTTGCTGAAAATCAAATAGTATAAAGCTAACTTTGTTTTCAAGAGGTATCAGTATCAGTGTACTCACCGACTGGATGTTTTTGACAATGGAAGATAATACTATTATGCGTATGATTTGGAAAATGATAGAGCAGGGTTGCAAGGAGAATAGTCGCTTGATTGAAGAAGCATCTTGGAGGACACGAATTTGAGAAAGCCAGGATGTGAGTATAGACGCTAGAGAGGGAGGAAGAGAGTGTGCAAGGTGGAAGCAAGTGAAGTACCATTGAATACGAACTCAACAAGGCTATTAGCTTACAATTAGAGATAGGCTACAGAAACATGGGTCTATTACCAGGACTGGAAAATGCGATAGTCATGCAACCAGCTTAGAGTTCACAATCCTCGTTTCATTCTTAAACATACTACTTTGGTCATGAAAGGGCTGGAAACTACATAATGTATACTTGCGACTAAATGTTATAACAGATAAGGGGGTAAACATAAAAATCCCACATCTCAATCTTGATAATCTCATCTGACAGCCTGACTTTGAAACACGCACTTCTTCCGCAACTTTTTCTTACCACGTAATTCTGGCTCTATAAGCGCTGGTGCCTCATATCTCATTCTCCTAATCATTCCTTTTGGGGCCTCATTATCAAACAATTCCGACCAATATATGCATCTATCAAGATGTTTTGAATCCTCTGGAAATCCATCTGGCATATCCGGAATCTCATAACCCTTTTTCTTGAAGAGATTTCTGTTTAACCCCCAAGCAACATTACACGTTGTCCGAAAATTGTTCTTGCAGAAATCTAATGTTGCTTCGAGGGGATCAACGTTCTTAAGTACAGCAGAGCAGACAATTGCGAATACTTGTGCTAGTTTTTCGCTTGGTGGCTGCGGTTGATCACGCTTGGGCGTTGAAGCAGAATGTTGAAGTCTGGTTGATACTCGACGTAGTAGTGATGGTTGACGTACAGGTCCTATTGGGATTTCTGGTCTCCTCCAGCCATCTTTGATTAAGCCAATCATTCCATGTCCGGCGTGACTATATCTGTTCATCTGTAAGTATATTGTACCGTTCAAAAAACGCCTTATTTGCATGAAAAAGATCCTTACGTGAACATTTCCTTATGACCATTCGCTACTACGAAAAAGTTGGTCCATTCTGAATTTGTGAGGCTAATTCCACCATGGCGTATAACATAACTTCGTAATAAAGGTGAAGGTATGATGAATTTCATGGCTCCTAGTCCCAAAGCAGTTCTATTATCCTCAAAATATTTCTTGATCTCATCGTATCTTGGACACTAGAATAACACCGAGTCAGTAGCTGTCTATAACCTTAATGGAACAAGAGAAAATTCTCGATAAACAAATTTGACTGTGAACTGGTAAGAGAAAAAATCTATCACGCAAGCACTTTCGAGTCAAGCAGATGCAGAATTTAAGAACATAGTACGCTTACAGTTTGACCTGAGTATGGAGCTTTATCTTTCAGGGCTACTCGTTGCGAATAGCGATAATGCCCTGGTTGCTTCGGATTTATATTCTGAGCCCTCTCCATGATCTTTTGAACTCTCCTGCGGCGCGCATTTTCTATATAAACCGATACCATCTCAGATTCTCGTGCCAATAATGGCACGTCAATAGGAGCAGTATCCTCATCGCCTCTAGGAGCTGTTGCATATAGTTGATCGCTTTTAAAATTCCATTGCCCAACAATCTTCGGACCCATGTGTGTGGCCTTGGGACCGAAACTATAATGGATGATTTAGATCATAGCCCTGGAAGTCTATTGTGTGATATATTCAGGGAACTTACGCTCGTAAGTAAAAATTCCAGAAATTTTGATCATGTAGCCCCATGAACCAATCCACAGGTACTGGATATGACGCTCTGATATCCCACAATTTCTGAGTTTGTGATGGAGAAAGTACAGGACCTCCTGAGACTCCACCAAACCACACACTGGGGAAATTAAATCTAAATTCCGGGTGAGAATTGTTAGCCAGATGTAAGATACAATGATCACTTACTGAACTATTCCTCCACAGGATTTGCCCGGGAGATCCAGACCGCTGACTAGTGGTATGTCGATTCCTCCAAATACCTGAATAATATTAGTATTCAATACACAAAAATGTATTGTCACATACGGATGACTGCATGGAGAATCCACTTGAGATATACACGTTAGCTGGATTCAACAAGTGATTTTAATTGAATGCTCACGTCTCAGCAATCGGCTCATCCATGAAATAAGGTTCCCCGTCATATCTCGAATCTGTATCTTTCATTTATGCCGATTGATAAGTAACCATTGCATGCTTTTGGAGTCAGCAATGAGAGTTTTTCATCTAGAATATTGAAGAGTCACGAACCGTGAGTTCGTGTAATACCACAGAGAGGATATGAAAGGTGTTTAGTGCTCTATCTTCCGGCAGCAAGTTTGGATTCAACAGCGGTTCGACTAAATCATGAGCAATTAAGATAAAAGTAGTACCCTTGAGATTTAATACTGAATTTCTAGGGCCAACTGTTATACCATTCGTATAGGTTCTATCAATGCCAGGGGAGTCAGTATTCTCTGTGCAAGCATAGTTTATGGGAAAATAAGAAACGAAAGCTAAATTAGGAAACGCATTGGATGTTTTTGAGATAAATAGAAGATGAGACTTGAGCTTGGGATACAGGGTTTTATGCGAAAGACACCAAAAGCTGCGATTCGTGTACGTACCCATCTTGGGGAAAACATTCCAAAGAGACTTGTCCCATTCCGAAGCCCCAACTTATTGAGCCTACTATTTCATTTAAGAAATCATTGAACGCAGTTGTCCGCTCCTGATGGTTGAATAATTTGGAAGGATAAAAGCGCCAGTAATCAGACCCTCTGATGTTTTCAGGTAGTTCATCATCAGGTATTTTCTGGTATATGCCATTGAGTAGTGCATCGAACCTTTTTGTGTTAGCAAAGTGACATGACAATAGACAAGATCGAGAGTGTTACCACTGCCAAGTAGCAATGTTTGACAACACAAGAGTGGCAATCTTGAGAGCGGGTTGTATTGCCTCCCATATCTCGTCGTTCCCTTTGATCTATTTCTACTAGTAAGTCCAATTCCTACAATCTCAAATTCCTGCACTTACCTCCCAAAATTTGTTGCCATCTCCACATGGATGTTTGGGAAAATGTAATGGTATCACATCTTCTCTTTCCCAATGCTGCCTCTCAAAGATAGGGTGTAACGGAACCGTGTCAAGGTCGACCCGTCCAGTCGTTGAATCGGAATGCCATTTACCTGGCCTGATATCTGCCAGTGCTCCAATTTGTTCTAATTCACGAGCAGTAAATCCTATCGCAAGTTAGGTTTGGCTACTTTATGAAATGATTGATCACTTACCCCAAAATCTCGTTCTTTGGTAACTCTCTAATGCCTTTTGGCTATCTGCTGACACCAAATTTCTCCAATCGACTACACTCGGTGAGGCCGGTGTCAATCCACTTTTCTTTAGAGGAAGCCACTCTCTGAGTAGTTCGTGACCTGGGCCTCGAGGATGTCCATATTTCCCTGCAAAGGGAGTTTCTCGCGCTGCCATGATTAGTGACAGAAAATATTTCGATCAAAATTTGAAGATAGTGATTGAAAAAACCTACAAACAAATGTGATCCAGTGTCTTCACACTTTTCTTTATATCAATCGCGAGCCATACATAACAAAGATGCACAACAAAGACATCGGAAAAATACTCAATCACGTAACGAACAAGAAAGACATGGTATAGACCAAAATAATGGGACCGAGGCTTTTCATTTACCATCGGCTAATTTCGAAATACATGAAGGAGATATATATGACCATATTAATAATCCAAAAGGCTTGACCCAGTCCCGCCACTCATGATTTTTGTGAACAGAATCGATATTTCCTAACCTAACCAACTCGTATCTACCCACACAGCTACAACATATAATTCATCTGACACACACCTAAACCTATCCTCCATATCTCTCTAATGGTGTGATAGGTGTACCACCTGAGCTTCTAGTGGCTCCTTCTGTCGAACTACGAAAGCTTGGAAGTGATGGGAAGTATCTCGGTCGGATGGTTTCATCGAAAAGTCGCAGCGTAACTATAAAGAAGGACAGTCCTAACAACATCCCGATAACGAACATTACGATTGCTGCAGTCTTATCGACAGCCCGTTCGCTAACATTGACACTTCCAGGATGCTCAAATGCTGAGAAAGGAGACATGTTTTCCATAGTTTCGATATCCGATTTTTTGCCTATGTTGATTGGACCTCTAATTGATGTTACGTTGTTGATGTTGTGTTGTTGCTGAAGGCTTTCGGATCTTGATTCTTTTGACGTGTATCTTGGAAATATCTACGAATCTAGATCGAGGCTATAGTCGAAGGGGTTTGTGGGACCGCGATGATGATGCGCAAAGAGTAAGTGTCGATGAATGGTCCTCTGTCCCTCAATGTCTTCAACCTTCGATTATGATGTCTTCGTCTACGAAACCAGATCGCAAAATTGGATGATCTGGCCGGTGATAATTAGCTGCAGCAAGAGGAACCAGAGAGACAGGAACGTACAAATGTTGAGGATTGTATAGATAGAAAAATTGAGCCTTGGTGGTGTAGACTTTTTGGAGGGATATAAATAGGAATTGCGCAGTATAATGGCGAAGAAAGTTGTTGATTCAGTCATGATAGCTATGCTACAGCCTTTAAATCTGCCGTCCGTACTAATCTCTTTCCGTAAGCCGTAAGTGAATATGATGAACAAAAAGCCAAATAAGATTGACAGGCCTCTGATTGTATGATACTGCTATGGCGGTGAATCTGAATAACGCCATGTAGATTTTGTATTCTAGATACCTATATTAATGTTGTAATCAGTATTTAGCTAAAGGAACTATCTGGGCCATCTTGAACACCATACTTACAACTCTAGATTTTCATACCTATACTCATGGTCCCTCTAGACCTTGTCTCTACCTTCACTCTCCGAAGCCTGGTAATAAATCCAAGCAGAGTTGTCCCAACGTAGATATCTCAACCTCTCCGCACTTTTTCACAGGCCCAGCTTGATCTCTCACACGCATCTCCAACTCAGAAGCAGCTTTATCGATCCTTACCCCCCTCCTCCCTTAAACAATCCCCGGTCCCTCCAATTCCTGCATATGATCCACAGCCACCCTAAATGTAACAATAAAAACAATCAGCGCCAACATAACTCCCAGAAATAATCCACAGACGACAGTCGCTGCGTTGAGATGGTGGAGATCTACCATATTTTTATTTCTTGGCCTGTGTAAATTATATGTTCTCCCCATTATCTAAAGTAGCGAAAGTAATGTAAAGCAAGAAGCATAAGTATCATGGATTATTTATTGAAAATAAGTGAATAAAGGAGGTTGAGAAAAAGTGTGCGAATAGGCCTAATTGGGAAATGATGTGGAAATTGCCGTTTTCGGCTATTCTGGGGGGCAGAACGTGCACTTGACGATTCGGACGGGGAAGATAAACGTGAGAATTTCTTGTGCATTCACTTTTTGAGTATTAGATATGAAACAAAAACATTCTATCATCGCTACTTAGATGAAATGATCAATTGACGTTTGCAATTAAATGGATTTAGCTAATCTAGCACACGACGCTCCAAGAAATGAACCACCGGAATGGGAATGTGTGAAATCCGCATTCGTCACAGGTAGGGTAGTCGGCATGAAATAGTTTCTTTCGTCTGTTGAATGATAAAATTAGCTAATGAGGGTGTTAGGTTGGAGGTTGGAGGATTGTTCGTACTTGCTGAAGAAGGAAATCCGTATAGCTTCTGACTCCCAGCACCACTATTCTTCTCTCACACCCACTGAGGAAATTTCATAAAGCGTAGAGTATCAATCGAGGCGAGAATGATTCATTGATTTGATGTATTAATTGTTGTCGTGTTTCGGTGCTAGAACTCGGAGTTGTTGAAGTTGAGTGTTGTGGTGCACATGTTTCCAACATAGATCGACCTGACTCGGCTCAACCCGCAGCTCTTCCTCAAGTCTCAAACGCCGATATCACTCCATCTTCGCCGTTAAGAGGTATACCTCATTGCGCGATACTACTCTCACAGTCTCCACTGGCTCACACCATTCACGTCAATAGATCTCGTCCCTAATCATCGGCCCCAGAGATCCTACGATTTCGCTGGAAAATACTCTCATCGCGCACTCCATCAATTCGAGGAAATACAAAATTAAGCATGTAGAAATACATGATGTACCAAGCGACAAATCCCAAAACTGCACCCAAGCCAAAACCAAAGGCCATCATTGGAACCTCGTAGGGTGTGAATCCCTCGAGGTTGGTGGCAGACTCCGTGTGTAAATTGGCAGCCATTTCTGCTCGTAATTGTTTATAGAGTTGGAAGGGCGAGGACTGTTTAATTTCGTGATTTGGATAGATGGGTAGTGGCTGAATGTTTTTGGGTCAACTATTTGTGCGTTAGTGAGTGCTTGACAAGGTGCTAGCGCAAATTGCTGTGCAATATAAATCATAATGTGGGGTGGGGCACTGAAATAGAGTGAATGGCGAGAGATAGATGACTGACTTTGTGGTGCAAATCCTTGGCTAAATATATCGATCACTAAAATGTTTAGAATGCACACTGTCTAGAAACAGCAAGGGGGAAGATTGGTCATTTGACCATTTCTTGAAGCTACCGGAGCAATTCAGTATCTGGTTGACCATAAGGGCAAAGAAAGTGTCAGGAAACAGCAGCAGAGGCGACGTATCGTCGGAAAGTTTATGCGACCATCGTGCGACCAAAAAGAGTAGACGAATGTCAAATGAGTGAGAAGGCTCAGAAGAACGAAGTGTGATTAGAGTGAAGGTGTACTCTTGATGTATGCATTGCTTGCCTCACTAAAAAAAAGGACATGAAGTCTTGATTATGGTATCTTATCATACAGGACGTAAAAGACACTCTTGACTCCCAAACAGCAACGCCAGTACCAACCTTATGTCATAAAAAATTCATACATTACTTAACCATCCATTTTCACATCCTCCCCTACAGCAGGGGTTTTGCCCATATTTTTGAGTAGATAACTTCGTTTAAAGTACTCATTGGGGTGTACAATGGTTTCTAATTGTGCTGCACCCCATGTACCATCATCTTTTACTTTCTTAATCTCCTGCTTATGTGCGTACTCGAAGACTCTAGACATTATCTGTTAGCAGCTGTCAGAGGAGCATTGCTTGCATTACATACCTATTGCAAGCAAGATGAAACTTCTGCTTCTCTTTATCTTCTTTTACTCCTCTCAAAACTTCATGGTCGTTCACGCCCACGGCGCGCAATAATGAAGTTAGGTTGTCCACACTAAAATGTCTATAAGGACAACCGTGTGATTCTCCTGGTCCCGGAGGATGCTCCGTCAATATCTTCTGACAACTAAACGGAGAATACCCATTGCCTCTGCGATTCGAATCTCCTCCCACGTCACCATACGAGTGACGAACATTATATCTGTATTCTTTATTGAAGACATCATCTGTAATTTTACTGAAGGCGGAACGCCAGAATACGAGACATTCTTCTAGGTTCAAGCCGATACCCTTGAGGAATAGGGTGTATTGCAGACGACCGTAATGTTTGAGATGTGCATCCCGGCGGAGGGATTTATGGAGGTTTTGCATACAGAGAGGGAACGAAGAGGAGAGTGCGTCGATGTTGCGGGCGGATATGTCAGCTCCATCAACTGCAGTTGCTGAGCTGGAGTAATTTGCATCCGGCGTGGTAAAGTTTTGAGAAAGATGTGTAAGGATTGGTGTTAGTCGATCATCTTCATCGAGCCGAGGAAGTGCGCGAGATGTGACCTGAGTGAGCAATTAGAACAGTTTCCAATAGGGAATGATAAATATCAAACAAACCTCCAAAGCTTTATCCAGCCTACTTGTAAATTCCGCAACTACCATCGACAGTTGTTCTCTAGAATGAACATACGCCTTTCCACCTTTTAAGAATACTCTCCGACTCTCTACTAATTCCGGGACTCTCTTCCAGTCTACTTTAAACCAACTCTCTTCTTCAATTCTCATCTTATCTCTGCCAGCTGCACCCTTCAATTGTTCCCAATAATCTCTTTTCTCGTCCTCACTCACCGTCTCCCAATCTAGATTAAGGCCCTCCACGAATGATTGCCGTTCTCTTAAATCGTCTACCTGGAACCGCAAACGGAATAACATAGACTCCACACGAGAAAATCGTCTTCGTAAGTCTTCTGTAGAAGCAAAGGCAAGCCGCAGGATAAAATGACTATAATGATCCTTCTGTCTCTCGGCCTGTAGTGCGCTAGATCCAGAAGAAGAAGCAGAAAGTGGTAAGTATTTATCGAGAAGGGGTTTCATGTGGGCTGCTGTCTCGGCAGGGGTTCTGTTTCTGAATGAACATGCTTCGAGTTCTGCGAGAACTATATTTTATGTTATTATATATTCGCAGGTATGAATAAGTTGCTGAAATACCTCGCAGGCGATCAATAGCCCATTGTTCAAATTGTTCCAGAGTTATATCAGCCGTAGGAGGTATTGTGTAGAAATTCAAACGGTGCGGGTAGTTGAGATCTTTGTAGGCAGGCTTTTCCGCAAATTGAGTCTTCCTATAGTCTGGCTTTTGTCTCTTTGAGAATCTGTTTGGGTCTTGACGTATCATTTTGTTGTTATTTCAAGATTGTATCACAATGTTAAGTTAGGATGTTCCTCACTGCTATGCATGTACGGATTGAATTGGGGTAACGCGTGCTAAAGTGGAAAAGTCGCGACGCGCCAAATTAGTTACAGGTAGCCCAACTGACCAAGATGGCAACTTTGTAAGCCAACCACTTGAAGTTCTTGTATTTCAATAACACGACAGCATAGTTCACATGTTGCAGTCATTGTACAATATCAAGGGAGCCAGAACTGGTAAACATCAATCGATAGCCTTTTTTCGATCAACAGCACTGATTTTAGATAATTACTGACAAAGGGGGAAAGATCAACCCAAACTACTTAGCCACTAGGTACTATCTACTACAAATGATCTTCACATATGATATGTGTCCGGAGAACATGGGGGTTGAAAGCTCGCCTCTTTGAATAGATGATTGCATCTCGATGGTCTTGAATTGGCCTATGTATGCTTGTTATCTGACCTTGCCAGACCACTTCTTAAGTCATGGATCTTGTAAGCGAGAACTGCGCAGGCTTCCCCCTTTCTTAATCGACTCAAAAGATGCCTCATCTTGAATTCGCTTTCTTCTTTTTAGAATTTTCAACGATTTGAATCCAGGTCTTTTGTCATTTTCTTGCACCCTTTTGGCAAGATCTGAGATCTGGATGAGATGGTTGTTTTCAGTTGCCCGGCAAGTTTTGCCGCTAGCGTAATAGTCAATTGGCCATGGCAGAGGAGTGGTATATTTACAGCAAGCCCAACAATTTTGCCAGTAGGCAACTATCTGTTGTACGCCAGAATAAGTAAAGCTCGCCGTGCGCCTTTTAAACAACAGCGACCTTCAAATACTGGCAAGATCCAAACCCCCGCGGATGCATGGATTGGAAATTGGGAACTCGCGCCTCTTAAAGAAGCTCAAGTAGTTTTAGGTCCGAAAGTCTAAGAAAGAACTTTGATAGAGTCGATTAAGCTGAAGATTTAGATTCTGCTGGATCGTTAGATCCAAAATGATGTTTTCAAAAAAAGCAGTGTCGATAAGCTGCGGCAGAGAGTTGGAGGATGAGGTGCAGCTTCCAGATTCATCATTGACAGTTCAATCCAGCTCTCGCTCGCTCTTTCCTCTAATATTCAACCATTAGTTAATCTATTACACCTTTTTTTCTCTTTCTCTCCCTCGTTGCCTCGCAAATCCGCATATTTGGATACTGATATTTCTCAATCCTGCGCATTGTTACACTATCACAAATCTACAACTAGACATTACATTATCAATTCAATTTACAGAGGCACACCTCAAAACATTGCATATTGACTGCATCGCCTTCACACGCATCGTTCCAAACAATAAACAAAGACAGCATGGCTATTCTTCGATTTTTACAGAGTCCAATAGGATTAGCTCCGGAGTTCGTTACATCTACTATCGTGGCAAGTCACGAGCTTGCGCAAAACACTTTGACAACATCGATTTCTACGAGTACGAGGAGTATTTGGCTCGCCTTACCAACCATGACAACCATGACAACTACGAAAACTTCTACCTTAGTACCGATTCAGACACTCATAACCTCTTTGTTGTACAGAGAACCGTCGAATATTCAACTAGCCGCCGCAAACCCGACACGTACAAACGTTCAAACCGAACCATCTACGAATGTACATTCGAATTTTCCACAGTTCGGGCGACTTGCAGTCACTCCATATCAGCTTATGTATATAATAGCAGTTTGCGTGTGCTTTATGATTCTAATGAGTTTTTGCTGTTGCACGGATGACATTAGGCGCTATATAAGATCCAACCGTCGCACCAATCCTGGCGCAACAATACAAGCAGCTCCTGTGTGGCCAGGAGCTTTGCGATTTGTGGATGGAGCTGACGATCGAGGTAGGAGCAACAGGACTTCCCGATGTCATTCTGCTATCAGTGACTCTACCGTTAGACCTCTTATGCCTCAAGTTGCGGAGAGAATTGATTCGGCTACTACTTCTACCATACCTATGAATACTCTTACTAAAATAACCATCAAGAAACGTGAAGAAGGTCATGAATCTATCATTCTTGATGAGATTGAACTACAGGATCTTGCCTCCGCACCCTCGTGCTATAGCTTTTCAAATAGCGATTCTGATATCACTCATAAACATTTTACCGATAACCATGAGGCTGATGCTCAAAATCGAAGAAAAGTCAGCTTGCGCGGTGGCTCTGGTGTAGAAGATAATCTATTGCGTACCGGAGCCATCACTAGTTTCAAGCAAACCGAGGAGAGATGGAAGCCAACGTGGTCTGCCACAAAATCTCTCTTCAGTTCCCGACGCAGAGGATCAGAACCTATTCCAGGACAAAATGCATCAAGTTTCGCGTCAAATAGCTCTACAACTTTTGGTAACAACCACTCTTCATCGGCACAAAAGGGCAATCGATCTCTTCGAAAATCATTTACAACTACATCTAAACGTGTAGAAAGACAAGAAGATACTTCCGGTACGATTTTCTCCTTCCCTCTGAGTGAAGGGAGTGATTCGGAGATTCCACGTTTCCCCACCCTCAACCGAATCAAACGAAAACTCAGACCACTTATCCATTCAGTATCAAAACAATCCTTGAGGGGAAAGTTTTCATTAGGGGATCGCAGCGGAGAGCACAGCACCGAAGAGGCAGACTCAGAGGAAATTCAATATAGTAGCACAGTTCGAAAAGCACTTCGAAGAGCTCGTAGCTCAGCTTCAATTCCATTTGGTCTTTTCAAGCTACCTGAGCCGGCAAGAAATGATCCAGAGCCTTCTGTCGCGGGACCTGTTTCTATCATTTCTAGCCCTAACGATGCCCGATCTGTGATTTCTGACACCGCATCTGAAAATACTCTGAGAGCTAGGTCTCCAGTCAGTACTTTGCTTGGAGTCAGAACTGATAGGAGATCTGGTTCTGGGCATCGAAGCAGGAGTTTGCAAAAGATGGTCAAGTCCAGTCTGGCTGATGATATTGATGTGGCTTCTTCACACGCCTTTTCATATGCTCGCAGAATTGAGGGGAGATGTGGATCTGGATCTGGCTATAAAGCCAGGGGCCCGAACAGAGCTGTTGTGGGAATGGGTTATCGCGAAAGTGTAGCTAGTGAAATTAATTCTGGTTCTGTGTTGACGTATTCAAACTCTGGAAGAGAGGGGGAGAGACTCGAATCTTCCAAAGAGAGCCCTGAAAAGGGAGAAGAGAAAAAGTATGATGATGAGACTGAGGATGAAAATGAGGGCCAGGTCTGCAACTCAGAAATTGCTGAAAAACTAGGGTCGACTTACGTTGCATGTAAATCGGTTAATAGCAGTCAAGGGGAGGACAACGATGAGGCTGCTGAGATCGAACAAGAAAGTTCCGACGAACAATCCTCATGTCCGAATTCTACTTCTGTCGATAATGCAAACAAAATTCGTAAGCGCGGTCGAACCGCAATGGCGAATCATTTCCATGCGAGATCGAGAAGAGTTGGAACGGATAGTACGGATAGTTCAGGGAGTTTTGTGGCTGGGAATAGCAGGAAATTGAAGGGTAGATTGGGTTTGTTGATGATTAGAGGGGCTACGGGTGGCGAAGATGGGGGAGTAGGTGCTAGGCAGGGTGGAAAGGTGGAGTTGGTTCCGATGAATTTTGGGGGGGATTATTAGAAAGGTGAAGTGGAATTTATGCATATATCTGCAGAGCTGAGGAGAGAACGAGAGGAGTAAGAATGAGAAAGTTTGGAATATGGATAGCGATGGCTTGTTTAGTATGGATATCGTATAGGATCCAAGGGAAGTGGGAATGCTAGAGCATGATTAGACTCGCTACCAATTATGGAGGAAGACAAAAGACTGGAACATAAATATAGACTACTAATTATAACCACTTCTTCCATCAAGAGAATTAGTATCAAGGTTAACTCTCTTTATAGTAAATCTAAAAATGAATTTCCACAGTCGAACGAATTCTTCCCAATATCCAGGTGACTTTCACTTCGCGTGCTACTTCCGAAAACGCACTAAAAGTGGTGATATCTACACGGTCGTTAAAAACTTAGATCATATTAATCAATTTCAACTTAGAGGGACTCTTTGATTAATTTAAATATAATGAACATGTGTTACTTCTAGGTGATGAAGAAATCCAACGTGTGGTTTAGATATTTCCAGGATTTGAAGGAAGAGGATAAACAGTATGGGTAAAAATGGGCGGTGTTGGCCATAGTGATTGTGATTGTGATCGAGATAAAGTTTCTGGAAAGGAGGCAGGGGAGCGAGTGAGGTGGTGGTTGTGGGAGATGGAGTGTATAGTGGGAATAGGGAAGTGTTGAAAAGGTGATAAATGGAAAGGTGGGCGGGGGGAGTAGAGGGGACTTTAGGTATATGGGAGGAAGTTGGATTGGAGGATGAGCAGTTTGGAATGGTATATGCGTATTCGACCCTCTTATTTGGCGAGCGGATGTGGGGTGATTATGGGATAATGTATCGATATGTTTGATGTTTTTGGGGGAATGTTAACCGGGAGTGAGAAGCGGCGGCGCAGCTAGATGTGTCTATTATTATGCTTTAAGATCATCTCTCAGACTGGGGAAATGAGTAACTTGATGATATCGAATAACGATCAAGATAATCGATTCGCCATACAAGTTACCTGGCTCCCTGGACATTCGAACGACAATTTTTATGGGTCCAGAGCTTAGCCGAGAGGAGGCTCAGAAATTGAATGTTCTCTTTAGAATATTATTCTTATTGTTGCAAGGATTATTATGGATTGTGTGTGATACTGTAGATTCTCTGACTTTGGATCAAGAAGTACGTATCGTAGTTCAATGCTCTACTGTTTAAAGCGGGAGGGGTCTGCAAGTCGTTCTTCCTCGATTGGGTGATTGTGTAGGAAGTACTAGGCGAGAGAGATTAAGAACTCTACCACGTTTCTACTTCTCGTATACAATTCTTTCCGAGTACTTGTTTTAAATCCATTTGAATCCTTTCGCAGTCCTTGTGTTTCTTATAGAATGTTTCTATTGCGTTAATCGGGTTCCTAAACATTCCTCATCGTGCTTTCACGGTATCAAAGACTTCAAGATTCAAGGTTAAGGTTAAGGTTAAGAAATGGATTCCCAACACATGGCGTAGGAACATTGAGAGTTTTTCCTCTCATTCTCAAAGTCATGGTAATGGAATTGATGCCAATGCATTCGCGAGTGAATTCTGTTTATCTTCTTCGAGGCATTACTCCCGGGTGTGTTCCACTACACATGTTCGCATGGTAGCTTTCTAATGACATTATTAGATATATCTATTGCTTTATCAACTACTCTTCCGAGTATTGAAGACCATGATATCGTGCATCTATACCTCGTAGGTTCTTCTATCAATCACAGAATGGCCCACCTACAAAATACCACGTGAACATGGTCGCCGCAAACCCGCCACTTCAGTTCCATCATTCACTATCAACCAAATTATGGATACATCAAATTCCAAACTTCACTCTCGTCCGATGTATCACTCGTTTCCCACCCAGATATATTCCACAAGTCGCAAGCTTGTTGATCTCAAAAACAAACAAGCGAATATTTCACTTTCAACCACTTCGCCAAAACGAACAACCAGGAAACTCAAGACAAACGAAGCAAACATCTCCCACCGTGCCGCCCTCGCCTATTTATAGTTAAACAAGTCGCAATCAACAAAATTGCGAGGTTGCTGTATGGCGTAGTGGTAATATCACTGCGGCTTAATCGCACATCCGTTGGTGTTGGCATGCGGGATTTATCTCTCCTTCACCGCGCGTGTCCATGCGGACGTGTAGCCCCTCTGGAGCAATCTAACATACTTGATTAATCTAGAGACGGTGTGGTCACGCTTCCTTAGTTTCGACTTCTGTAGAATAAGATCTCGAAGTCGAACAGCGCTTAAAGAAGAAACCCTGGGTTTATAGAGTTCTTATTCATTGGTTGATTCCATTGAATGCTCTCGGGGCTTCTCAACTTGAGTCGGAATTACCCGATTCTTGTATCTTTTTTTTTGTGTGAATTTTCCATTTTTTATTTGATTTTGGGAAGTCAGGGGTGTATATGCACCAATGATGGTCGACCAAATAGATCAAGCTTAATTAGTACAACTAGTGACAGTATATCTCTTTGAAGCTCAATAATTTTCATACTGGCCCAAAGATATATAGGATGATGTCGGCATCAATTTTATCATCGACATTCAGATTTCGCTTTCCGAACTTTACTCATTATTTTGCTCTTCGGGTTTTCAAATATCTCTTGGATTGTCGCCAAAAATATACGCGTTTTGGGAGCGACTGCCATCCTTTGGGTCACTATTATCCAGATATTCTCACGAACGTTAACATTTAGATTTTGGAATATGCTCAGAGAACTCGATTGTCGACGATTTTCACTCCATTTGGCGGTCAATGCACAAGCGCTCCCTTCCTCGGAGAAAGATTCTAGGAGTTTCAGTTGATTCCTTTTACTATCCGGCCCAAGGACAGCTTTAACGAGAGTAGTTCCATGTGTCAGGTAATGGGTCTAGCCATGGGTTTTCGACAGAGAAGTCCTTTGATGATGGATCTGGGGTGCCTATCTTAGTAGCATTCTGAGTTTTTCAGAGTTAATGAGCCCTCACTACTATTGGCGCCATTGGCACATCTTTTGTCCTCTAGTGAAGGCCGCGATAGAGACATGTATTTCTAATGACAGCTGCAGTGAACATTCCTTCTGTATCCTGCAGTATGTCACCCCAGCTGTCAGTATCTCGGGAGAATTCAGCAATATACATGCTGTCTTGTATATGAGTCAAAGCGAGGAGCTTGCCTCCACTAATAACTCCAGTGAATTTGAAAGTATCGACACAAGATAAAATGGCTCTTTCATACATCTTCTCGTAGCGTGAATTGTTTTTCTCGCCGAACGTCGTAAAGACTATAGCATCCTTATCCCTAGATAGTTTCTCGATGATCAATCTGAAGGTGTTGGTCTCTCACGAAAAAGATATGAGAAGTTCTTTGGAGGAAAAATAGATAGTAGCAGTCCAAATCGCTAATTTCACAGTAACACATAAAACGACATTACCAATAGCGAAAGCAACAGCAGCAACCATAGTTCCAACCGGCCCGCAGTCCCAGCAAGCAAGAAATTTCACACCTTTAACAATAGGATTGATATTTGAGACGGGCGCATGTTGTTGACCGAAAGGATTGGCTGTGTATCCGCGTGGTGGAGCGGGTTGATACACAATCACTTGCGGAGGCCCTGGTCGAACTGGGATTGGTACACTTTGCTGCCCCAGATTATTGTTACCTTAATTTTGATTAATCGCGTTTGTATGGATGGCTACTACCTGTGATGCTAGTCGAGTCTCGACGTCACCTGTGTTTGCAGTTCTGGTTGTGCTTCTCTTTCTAATATCGACGCAACATTTACACAGCAAGATCTCTAACCCCCAGACTTGCGGCCGGAAGTCTCGAGGTTCGCTTCACAGCTGCAGAGATTATTGAAGCACTATTTCCAAGGGCTTGAATTGAAATGACCGCGGAAGAAACTTGTGCCATGTTGACTCTTGAGACGTATCTGACGGATACAGGAGTGGAGTGGAGGTGTGCACTTGATGCTGAAAGTTGAAACTCAGCAGTTCACAATGATAGAGCCCAAATTGTAGAGTGATGATCGTATCTACCAGTGTGTGTATGGTAAGGAGCAATCTTGAAAAGAAGGAAAAGAGAGAAAAATTATCTAGAACAACATCCCGTTTCCGAAGATGCATATGCTGACAGGTTAGCCTTACATGGGTATTGATTTAGAACTGTAGCTTTGTGACTGGGCAGATATGCCTAGGTATCTCGTTATGTTTACTTGGATGGAAATCTAAAGACAGACTCCAGGGAAATGTAGATATCCGACGGTATCATTGATATTTGGAGCCCCTACCCATATTTGGAATCTCTAGTCGATTGAGCATAGGCTCTTATCGCGGGCTCCTGTTTGACATCCCTGTTGAGACCATCAAAAGATTTCCAAAGCACACTTTAATGATGAGATTGGCTGCAGGGCTTATCTTAGGATTGATGGAAAATTCCCATGTAGAGTCCTATTTAGGAGATTATTATTACTGACCAACTTCTGAACCACTCGGTCCTGCTGTCAAATCTGTTGTTATGGGATTGGTATACATCAATGTTGATATCAATATCCACGAATTAGAAGTTCTTCCGATTATCAGCATCATCATTCATCCATTCATTATGTCAAAGTAATAGACTATTCCCTCCCACTCCCCCTGCCTACTCTCCGATCTTCTTCTCAAACTTCTCCTTTCTCCACTCCCCCTTGCTTCAGACACCAAGTTTGGTCCATCATGCACAATAGAAAACTGATCCTTAAACTGTGACTCCATCTTCCCCCTCTCCACCCTCTATCCCGCTTCTCCTTCCCCTACCCCATCAATCTACAAATCCCACGATTTCTCAAAACCAAACTACCACAACGTCCCAGCGATTACAAAACTCAACTCCGCATACGCCATTGCCTTTCCGCTTATTCACACGAACCGAGAAGCAAGGGCGTAGATACCTCCTCTCCTGCATGCGTTTCCTCTTCGCACCATCTTTTCCATTGGGAGATCTGGAAAACGACTCGATCCAGCGCTCAGAC